TAGAATATAGCTATCTCCTATATAAAATACTTTTTATAGTAATTTAAAAAAATAAAGATAGTATATTAATTACTTTACTTTATTAAAAGTACTTCTTTATAAACCTAATTTATTTTTAGAACTATTTAAAATAAGTTTATATACTCTTATAACCTTATTAGAGCTTTATAGCCTAAGGAAGTTAGATTCTATTAAACTATAAAATACTATAATAACTTAAATCTTAGTTTAAAGAGTTTTTTATAAACCTAATTTACTATTAGCTTTAATAATTTTAGAAAATAAGCTAATTAGGAATTTATTATATTACTTAAAATACTAATTAATCTATATAATACCTAAGGTATCTTTTATATAAAAAACTTCCTCTAAATTAAATATCTCACTATATTAGTATATTTTATTATAAGAGATATCTATTATAAGGTTTAGATTTACTTATTAAATACTATATTATAGGATACTAACTAAAAAGAAGAGGGGGCTATTAATATAGACCTCTTTATAGATAAGTATAAAGATAATTTATAGAATTTTAATATAGTTATATATTTCTTATAAATTAAGTAAAGCTACTTTATTTACTTAGTAGTAAATTAAATTAATAGAAAGAGCTACTTTATAGACTTAAATTTTAATTAGTAGAGTAATTAGAAGTTTATTAATACTATTAAAGCTTTTACTACTTAGTATAAGCTACTTAAAGTACTTAAAAACCTTATTACTATCTTATTATAATATACTTAAGTAGTTAATTTAGTATAGTAACTTAATAATTATAGCTATAGAGTTTATTATATTAATTAGGTTTATTACTTTATTATAAAAAGACTCCTTAATACTTATTTTAGTAATAATATTATTATTAATAAGAGCTTTTATTACTAAGGCTTTTTACCTCTAGTTAGTAAATATAAATCTTAAATTACTACTAAGTTTTATAAATATAATTTAATTTATAAAAACCCCTTATTCTATCCTATAATATAGATAGTAGTAGTTTACTTAAGTAAGATAACTAAAAAAGGAACTATATAGCTATCCTTAGAGTAACTTCTTAATCTACTCCTATTAATAAACTTACTTTAAGTACTTATAATATTAATCTAATCTCTAATTATTATTTTATCCCTATTAGAAAATTTAGTTTTTAGCTTTCTAATTTTAGAGGGGTATAGTAATTATAGTAAACTTATATTTATAACTCCTAATTATAAAAGTTTTATCCTACTATTATATAAGTTTTTAGCTCCTATTTAAAATTTTATAACTATAAGTAATTATTTTATTTACCCTCCTAAATAGCTTATTCTAAAGTTAGTAATAATTAATTAAGTAGTANATATATTAACTTTTAAACTTAAATAGAAATTTATATACTATTTAAGACTTATATTTATAGATTTTTAAAACTAAGAGGATAATAAGGATAAATATATTATAAACTAAAATTTAAATAAGATATTATTTATATAAGAGAAGTAGAAGAAGTTTAAGATTATAGAAATATTTACTATAAATTTTATTAATAAATATAATACTCTTATATATATATAAGTATATAGGGAATTATTTTCTAGTTTAAAAAGTTAAAGAGAAGATAATTAGGGATAATTAGAATAAAGTTTAATAGGTTTATTAAATTTTTTAATATTTTTAGTATTTAGAAATAAGATTATTAACCCCCTTTAAAGAGTAAGAAGTTAATTTAGATATTATTATTAATCTTTATAAATTAGAAGTAGAATTTACTTATTTTTTTAATAGATTTTTAAGCTTTTAATCCTATTCTTTTTATTTTAGATCTATAAAGTAGATAAGAAGTCCTTTCTTTTTTCTTTTAAGATTATAAGCTTTAAAACTATAGAGTTATATAGCTATAGTAGCTATATNTTTTTCTTTTAAGATTATAAGCTTTAAAACTATAGAGTTATATAGCTATAGTAGCTATATATACCTAAGGGCGTATATACGCTACTACGTCGCATAGCTCTTAGCTACTAGGCCTATAACTATTTCACTAACTTTTCTTCTTTATAGTTTGCTGCCTAGAGGCGCACCTTGTTGACTGCTGTATATGCTATAAGCATGTGACGCCACACGTCACTATATATACCTTCTCTAGGTAATACCAGCAGTTAACAATCTAAGCATCCTATATCCCACTCTTATTGCAGTATAACTCTGACGGGGAAACATATAGAGGGTCACAGCGTTACCTCTATAGCTAACCCATAGGGTATTCAGGCTCTCAGAAGACCCTCAGAACTAAGCTCTCCGTTAAGTCAAGTAGAGATTCAAAAAGATCGCCGAGAACCCAAAGGACGAGAATAATACAAGGGAGATTAACAGGATATTTAATAAGAAGTATAGCGAATAGCTCTAAGAGCTAATCGCTATTATTACCCTTATCTAAGGATGTAGTAGTCAAGGAGACTAGCCTGGGTTGGGGTGGAGGGAAAAAAGGGTTAACAACTCGCCATACCTTTCAAATTTGGGCCTTCTGCCTAAGCAAGAGCGAAGAGAAGTGCCTTGACTACGAATTTCCAAATAACGAGTCTTTCGACCTGCTTTCCTTTAGATGTAGAAGTTGGACTAACAAGATTTCTGTCCATACATGCCAAGCGAGAGACCCGGATTCGTGGCCAAATAATACGTTTCAAAGAATTGGTTATGTTGGAAAATGAAGAGTTGAATCATGCCAGAAGCTTTCCCCATAAAGTAGTGTCTCTGTATTTAGTCAACTCTTTAAGGTTTCATTTCTTGCCAATAGCATTCCCAACCGCATCCGGCCTCCACATCCTTCTATGCGAGACAGTCTGTACCATGTTTGCTAGCTGAGCCCACAAGTAATCCGAACAAACCCCTCCATTCATCCTTCACATCATTTCAGTCCCGCGGAAACTTTCAAATAGATTGAACACTGGGGCTGAAGAAGCGGCAATTGGCAGTGACGACTTTATACCTCTGGTTCACGTTAAACCGCTGAGCAGACGGATAGAAGATGCCGCTGACGGTGGTCGTCACACAACCCAGCACGACGTCCTGTATCACATTCGCGAGGTGGCTGCAGGCTATATCAACGGCGTACGTGTTATCATTGCAGAAGACTGAAGCCGACGTCCCGTCACAGGTGGTCCTGATGCACTGCCTGGCCTGCACGACACATCTGCTGACCGTCTTCAGGTGCGAGACGCCCTTGTCCAGGTCCCAGTAGGTGATACCTCCCCACGGCTTGTTTCGTTTCTATGCTGCAGAGTTGAGTCACATTATCAGCTCGGAACTATAGATAGGGTTTCTTCGTATCACGAACCGTGTTATAGCTACCCTAAGAGCTCTCTCGTTAAGCTATATAGCTTCAGTGCTAGCAGATAAAGTACTATTAGGGACGCTAACAGCAGTAATATTATCAGAGAAGTCTGTCAAACTATTATAAAGCGAAGCATTAGGGTAGTAAGTATTAATCTCTAATAGCTATTAATACTATTAAGGTTATTATCCTTATAGTATATAATAAGGCGCGTTTTAGAGACTTTTCCTAGGTGGCTTAAGACTATTATTAAACTTAGATTACACACACTAATTTGAATAGATTAATTATCTTAAACCTTTTAAAATAGAAATTTTAGAGAAAAATAAAAACGCAAAAGAACGAGCCTCACACTTACGATCAGCAGGCTTTCCGCCTCATCCGGGCTTTCGCCCAGGGACTTTATCCGAAAAGAGGGACATTTAAACGGGCTTCGAAACCGCACCGCCTGACCTTTGTAAATACAAAGCGACCCTGCTACCAATTACACCACTGGGTTAAGTATACCCAACAAAGCTGGTCGACGACCTCTATCCAGGACACTTCCTCAGGGTTGCCCGGCCGAGTGGGGCCCTCCGGGGGTGAGGGAGACACCGGGGCCGCAAATCGCGCCGGACGGCCCCGAGAAAAAGAAGGCGCCAGTCCGGACTCGGAGAGGGCGCGTTGTCCGAGCGCTCCTTCCAACTCTAGGAGAAGCTTTACTGCGGGTCAAATCTTCGTGGGGCGTCTTGGGCCAAGCACGATGCCTGATGGGGTGGGCTAGGGGGTCAGCAGAGAGGAGTTACAAAGTCGACATCCCGGAGTGGCCAAGTAACTGACCCCCCCTCCTCCAGTTTTAACCCAGCTCACGTCCGAAGACGAAGTCAAAGGGCAACGCAGCCGGCAAAGAAGCCCAAAGGGGCGCAAAAGGCTAGGCCGTACGAGACTCAGCCGATACGATACTAGCGCAAGACCGAGAAGACGCGTAAATGCGTACGTGTAGGCTGTCGGACGCAAGCGGGCTTCTCTCCCTCCTCCGAATCCACTCGCGATGCAAAGACCACCAGATTGGACGGACCCAAGCGCTCCGCCAAGTTGCGCTCCAGCCGATGGACCAAAAGGACGCCGAGCGAAGGACGGAGCGCGGCTTGGTTGTGGCCAGCTGGCACGTCGAGGGGGAACAAGGGCTTGGCTGGGGCTTCTGCCGGAGACTGGTCGACTGTGGGAGCTGGAACTGAATAGGAGGGTGTTGCGTGAGAGTTTGGATGCGACCTAGGCTTGTTCTAGAAGCTGTAAAATCCACGGTATTAATACAAATTTGTTCAGCTACTTGGTCAAAACGCCCAGCACTTTGAAAGCTCAATCGAGGCCTATTGTCGCAACTACGGAAATCGAGGGCTGAACCATCTCAGACAATGCCAATAGCCAATGTAAGGGATGCTTCTTTAAGATTCCAAGTCAAGGTTCCACCGCGAAAGTCTTCGCGAAACATTTTTCCATCGTCGACACAGATCTTCTCGCCATTCTATGGTGGGATAATCGAAGCCCCCAAGGCAACGAAATCCCTCGACAACGCAAACAAAACCTAAACCAAAGACTCAGCAAGCGGCAGCCTCGCTTCAAACGCTGTAACCATCACGAGCTCGTAAACGACAGTACCAGGACCTGCTCACTAGGTCTTGGTTCGCCTACTTGGTGACAATCGTACAGTTCAAAATTCGTCGTCGGGGTCTTCAGTCCACCGCTCATACGGTCCTTCGGGTTCCGGTAGCAGGTCTTCCTCCAACAAGGTTCTCCACGACGATAACGGGGACTCTGTCTCCCATGATGCAGGATCGTAGTCTACAGGCCACCGTGCGGCCCACTGCCGAGCAGTCCAGTCCTTGTGTTCTTGGATGATATTCTGAACGTCCCACGCCTTCCCGACGTCAAAGTTGCACTGTACAACAGACTTTTGCTGGGCCATGTCTTCCATGGCTCGTGAAAGATGCTTGAACCTGTGGCCTGGATACAAATGATACCACGGCCCAAAGTCTTGCACTGATGGCAATGAAGCAACGCCTCGATCTAGAGATTCTTCCCACGCACGATGCCATGCAATGTCTCGTCGGATGACTGCCTGGAACATTTGAGTTGCCAGATTTGGTAGTGGCTGGCCATCCAGAATGAGAGAGAAGGAGTTGTCTGGCATACCGGCCGGCGCAAGGGCCAGGGCCTCTTGAACCCACTTCCAGATGCTCTGTGTGATTTGAGCCGACTGTATCCGCCACTCGTCTCGGAGTACATATTTTGTCATTGAATGGGAGTAACCCTCGTCCTGAAGGGCATTGCTCCAGAGCTGGACACGGCGCTCAATCTTGAGCAGCGGATTTTGCCTGCAGAATTGAATCAAGCCAAGCGCGTGACGTTCAGGGCAGGCTACCGCAGTGCGATCTTCATCGAGAACGATCTTGCGAAGTTGCATCTGAAGCCGTTCATTGCAGGACTTGATGAAGAGAATCGCCATCGCTGCAGCGGAGAAGCGGTACTTAACCCGATCCCTGCCCGTTAGTGCAGCTTTGAGACCGTGAGTATCCTCTCCCTCGTCCCAGAAACTCGCCATGGCGTCAAGGTCGCCATCCAAAGGAATGTCCCAATGCTCCATTGAGCTTTCAATCATACCAAGAACGCTAGACACGCCGTCGCAGTGATGGTCGAGTGCTTCATGGCCATGGCGTGAACCTTGAACGTGCCGAAGAGCTTCCTTGCATAAGGTTGCGAACACCGACGGTGCTTCACATGCCTCAATGTTACCCAGGTGGAATTGTATCGTATCGGCGCCGGGTTGTTTCCGCAATGCGTCTAACAAGACAGCGAACTGCGGGTACTTTTGAAGGAGCGCAAAATGTTGTGTTTCTGGCATGGCGTGACTGGTGGCGTAGAGGATTTCTTTTCGGCGGGTTTCTAAGCGATTCACCACCATGTTGTGAGTTCGCAAAGCGAGCATTCGAAGGTCGTCACAGTAGATGGTGGTGAAGGTGATGGCATTGGCCCGCAGTGCCACTCCATACATTTCCGTTGCGATCAGGCGGCAAGTGTAGGAGAGGTTCAGGTTGATGGGCTGGTCGTTGGCGCCCTTCAATAGACCGGTAATGTTGATCTTCGGCACACTTGCGGCGTTGCGCTCAAGCACATTTGCGGCGAATCGACCAGGGTCGCAGACATATCCACCCGGGATCGCGACGTAGTGCTCGTATATCGCATCTCTGATTTCTCGCGGGAGAGCGAGGAAGGGAGACGGGGGTGCCATTTTGGTCGACTGGATAACAGCAGCTGAGAGAGCGGTTTGCGGTCAGAGCCAGCTTGTCGCTGTGGAAAATTGGGTGCGTGCAGCAGTCTTTTGTACCCCAGAGACCCCCAGAGAGCAGCCACCAAAGAACGACCTCAAGGTTCGCGCAATGGCTGTTTGCCGAAGGACCTTCTCACACCCTTTCGTGGCTGTGCCATCGCCCACACCGTTCCAAGAGCCTGACTCAGACAGTCGTGGCCAACAGTGTCTCGCACTGTGTACAACAGGATTAAAAAAAAAAGGTGGCCACTGTAACGGGTGAACCATTCCGGGACTTCTACGGCGTTCAAAACCATAGACTTTACGGCGTTCCAAACCAGAGACTTTACGGCGCTCCAAACCAAGAGAAATGTACGCGGCAACGTATATGAATCTTTCTTCCCTTCTAACTTTTCTTCTTCGCAGTTTGCCGCCTGGAGGCGCACCTTGTTGACTGCCGTATGACTCTGACGGGGAAACATGTGGAGGGCTACCTATTGTGTTAAGTAAAAATGAAATGAAAATTGGACAAGTACAACTCACTCACAGCGTAACCTCTATGGCTAACCCATGGGGTATATGAAGGGGATTTTTGAGCCGCCTGGCCAAGCTGGCTTCTATGATTAGCTTTGCGAAGGGGAAAGCGACGGGGCAGAGCGCCAAACTTACCAGAAGCGGCCCCCCATCACACCATAGCCCAAATTTAAAGCCCTCCAAGATGAATCTCATATACACCCCCTACCTAATCGACGTAGCCCTTGCCTAATACCATTATTCAGTCTAACTCATATAACAAACATTAACTTAACTTACTACCAGCGACATCAAACGTCTGAAAAAGACCGGTTTGCCACATGTTCAACAATGGCTTGGTCACGTCCTTGCGGCCAAGAACAACGACGCAGTATCTGCAATATTATTAAAATGATGCTTCCATGTTTTTCATAGTATTGCTCACCTCTGTGCCTCCTCACGATACACATCAGGCTCTCGGAAGACCCTCAGAACCAAGCTCTCCGTCAAGTCAAGCAGAGATTCAAAAAGATCGCCGAGAACCCGAAGGACGAGAACAACGCGAGGGAGATCAACAGGATATTCGACAAGAAGCTAACGTATGTTAGTGAATTTGGAGCTTTAGTACATGCTGAGAACACGTACCATAGCGAATGGCTCCAAGAGCTGATCGCCATCATTGCCCTCATCTAAGCTGTAATTGTACGCGTCAGTCGCTGTCCTGCAATGCAAATATAACAGTGAACTTACTCACGATGTGGTGGTCAAGGAGACTAGCCTGGGTTGGGGTGGAGGAAAAAAAGGGTCCTCATGTTCCCTTTAGTCTAGAGAGAACTGAGCGTTAGCTGTAGCTATTCGCAACGAACCAAGGATGCCTCGTAGCACAAGAGCCAACTGACCATACAAGTATTCACAAAAGAATTATTCACAAAATGATTGGTCTCCGATCTGGAGACAGAAGTGATCTCGATAGAGATCCCAAATTTGCAGTACCTCGAAAGAGGTTCCGGCGACCTCGAAACAGGTGCCGGTGACGCGGTGATTTGCAAAAAGCGTACATGAAAGAAAGAAGGGGAAGAGAAGGGATACAAGTGATTGCGCGTTACAAATACGGGTTGGAGATGGATGGGCCAGTCTCCATGTATCGGCTTGTCCACTCAAACTGACCGAGCCCGAAGGTTTTGATGGCCCATTGCGCCATGGTGCGGGGGTGCTCGTCGATCAGCTGTTCGAGGGTGCGTTTTCGGGAGGCCCAACGACCAAACCGGCCTTCAATCAACTTTACTGTCCACTTCGTGACGGGCAAGTTGCGTCTAGCGTTGGCCAGCAGGGGACATTCGAAGAAGAGGTGTTCGACGGTGTGGGTGTTGGTGCCACAGGGACACATGGGTGAGTCGGCGAGCTACAACGCAGAAGAAATCGGTTAGCCAGGCAATGACCGAGGCTCCGACAACGAGGATTGGAGGCGCGACACGCGGGAAAACAGAGGGAGAGGATTGAAAGGGCAAAGAAGAATGATATTGCTCTACATACCTTCCTCCTATACAGGTAAGAGTTGAGGCCTATTAGACCGGTCCTGCAATGAAGAATGATAGTGCTCTCAACTCGGGTCAAGTGTTGGTGGCGCTTGAGGTTGGAAGCGCCCCAGTCGCCCCTGGTTGCGAGTGGGTGGCAATGAGTCCCGTACCACGACTGCCGGGCTGAGCGTCGTTTTCGTTCTTCTTTGAACCACCACCAGATGTACCTGCAGAGAGTATCCGATTGCGCTTCGAGGTACTCGTTGATAGCGATGCGCCGATCGACTGCATTATCCCAGACGTCGGGAAGGTTCTTGCTCAGGTATTGAGCCTTGGCTTTTTCCGCGAGCCGGGAGGCTGCTTGATACAGCTCAAAGTACGGTTGCTTTTCGAAGCATGGGCTACTGGTGCCTTTGAAAGGAAATTTGGTTGTCTTTTTGATCAGAAGCTTGCCATCATCGGTCATGGAGTTGCTGGCACGATGACTCATTGCCATACGTTGGAGATAGACGGCAATCGGCTCCATGTTGACTTCTTTGTGGAGGGGAAGGCTTGATGTCTTGGAAAACACGCCGGCAAAGACCCGGAGGCAGCCGGTCTGAATGGCATCGAGCTTGTCGATCAACGTTTGGTTCAGGCCGTAACCTTTTGCCTCTATGCTGGGGACGACAAACCAGACTGGGCAGGCGTACGCAATGACTGGACGGATGCTGGTCGCGTAAAGTTGGCACAACTTCAGCAATGATGGGCCCGAAACGCTACTGAATCTCTTCCTCATGTAGCCCATCTTCCGGTTGACCTTTTGCTGTATCTGTTGACAGTGCGGTCAGAAATGCAATATCACACAGGCATACTGGGCTCATGTCGGCGTCCTAGGAAAAGTCTTACCTGGTGAACGTGATATTTCCATGACAATTGGTGGTCCAGCCAGACGCCCAGAACACGGAGGTTGCCCTCCTTGTTTGTTTCCGGCTCCTTAGATTCCCGCACAAGAGCTTTGCTTTCATCCAAGTGCTTGATTTTCGGTAGCTTTTGGCAGAGGGGAAGATGTCCGCTACCTCCCCTCCGCGGGCGGAAGTGCATGACCTTGTACTTGGCGGGATCAAAGAGTAGCCCGCGTGGGCTTGCCCATGATATCAGCTTGTCGTGCACCTCGGTCAGTTTCTCGCAATTGACCTTTGAATACGGAGACGTGACCATGATGCAAGTATCATCGACGTAAGACACGCTGGTCAGGATGTACTTGGAACCACCTAGCTCTGCCTCGTCGTCAAGCATCCGCAGCATCGGTGCTGTGAAAAGTGCGAAGAGAATCGGGGACAGTGGACTCCCCTGAGGAATGCCAATGTTGACCCAGAACTTGGGTGAGGTGAAGCCTGGTAGCACGACCGAAGTGGAACGGTCAGAGACGAAAGAGTCGACGTAGTGTACAAGCCAGTCAGGCAGGCCCGCGTCAAGGAGAACCTCGATAAGCTCCAGGTGCTTTACGTGATCATAAGCGCCAGACACGTCAAGGGACAAGAGAGTGGTCCGCCAACCCTTTCGTCTGGTCTTTCCGCAGAACCCATTCACGATGCCGCTGACCAGATGCTCAACTGCTTTAGGGGCGCTCTTGCCAGCGAAGCCGTATTGACTAGGCGGGATCAGCTTGTACTTGATAGCAAGTTCTTTGACGTAATCAGCGACGATTCGCTCTAGGACCTTCCCTATGCATGGGAGAAGAGCGATGGGCCTGTAGCTCTTCGGCTCGGTGTAATCGCTTTTACCCTCTTTTGGGAGGACGATGGTAATTGACTCCTTGAAGCAGACCGGGTGGTAGTTGAGCTTGATGCAGGTTCTGAAGAGATGCAACAAGTATGGCATGAGGGCGTCCACAGCCATCTTCAGAGCTGGATTTGGAATGCCGTCCGGGCCAGGGGCTTTGCGGGCAGCCAGTTTCTTGACAATCTTCCGAACCCTGTAACGATCGAGCTTGGGAGGGGACTCCGATCTCAGCTTATCCCAACGTTCTCGTTCTTTGCGAAGCATCCTCTTCTTCCTAGGTCTGCTCCCGGCATCTTGTGATACGGGAGGGGAACCGGCAGACGGCTGAGAGTCGGAAGCGGAGGGGGGGTCGGCAGGTGAAGCGGAGCGAGAGTCTGCCGGTTGGGATGACAATGCATCAGCGCTTTCCACCTGGTTTCTTGGGATGTCCAAAGCTCGATTGTCCAAACTTGGGTGGGCAGGAGGCTTTTGCTGCGAAGGCTTGACGTTTCCTCTCAAGCCACCAGGCTTTGAGTGGGACCTTAAAGCCCTTGGTTCCCTGGCAGGAGGAACAAAGCGATTGCCCCCATTCATGCTGACGCGTCTCTGAGGTTTTCTCCTGGCGTTTTTCTTGCCCTCTTGGGCCGTGGATTTTCTACCCTTCTGACCCTTGCCGGGAGAGGCCTCCGAAGATTGAGATACGCCGCATGATGTGCTGTCTGCATCGGGCATCGAACAGTCGTCCTGGGTTGGCATGTCGACGTTGGAAGGCGGGGATTGAAACGGGGATGCAGGAACCGGAGGTTCCTCATGTGTGAGTGGCGAACCCGGGATAGAAACAGAAGAGTATGTATCAAATGCGCAAACGATTGTACTGGTATCGGGAGGATCACAATCGTTCTCGACGGGCCGACTGGCGGCACCTAAGGGAGAAGGGTGATGAAGAGGTTCGGGAGAGGGCCGAGACGGTTGAGGTGTCAAGCGGGGTGGTGGCGTTGAGGATTGACGACGCCGAGATTTGCGCTTTCCCGTGTGCTTCTTGGATGCAGAAGGCCGAGCCTTTGGCTTTGGCTTTGGCTTTGGCTTTGGCTTTGGCTTTGGCTTGCGTGTTGCTGATCTTGCGGCATCCAAGGCTTTCCCACGAGATTCGAGGTATCTAGCCTTGACTGCCGTCTCTTCTGCGGGGGCCGGGGAATTACTGGTTTCGTCAAAGTGTCTTCCGCGTAAAAGATGAGCATTTTCTGCTTGACTCCGACAGTAGGTACCGTCGGTGTTCTTGAGATACTGTAAGTGAGGCGGCATCTGTGCGAGAGCCTTCCTGCGAGCCTGAGCCATGATCCTGTGAAGACCAATCAGGCCTTGGAACAGACTACTCGCGGCTCTGCGGGATGCAACCGCGTTGACAGTTTTCGTCAGCCTGTTGGTTTCTTTGATCGCAGCCACCCACTTCTCGTAACGCTCGTCATATGCCAAATTGTCTCGACTCGTATGGCGCAAAATCCAATTTGCACGCATCTCTGCATCAAAAGCCTCATCAAGTTCGGCAAGCTGAGGGTGCTGAAGTTTGGTCTTGGCCGCGTTGAGTTCCACTGCCGGCACCATATCCTCGACAGTCTCCATCAAAGCTTTACAGAGGTCCTGTGCGAATACTTCTGCAGCATCGCAGTCGACAAGTTCGGGGATGGCGTCGGGTGCACCGAGAACATGCTCCAATCTTGCTTCAACGCTAGCCTGAAAATCCTCCTGTTCGACCTTGTCAAATCGATATCTCTTTCGAGGGCATCGGTCGACGTGAACGTCTAGCCTGGTGTGAATAACTGCATGGTCTGTGTAACTGTTTGCGATTTCGCGCGGCCTGACAACATTACACCATATCATTTGGTCTTGGATGCTGCTTCCTAGTATAGTCAGGTCGATGTTGGTTGAGATATCGTTCTTTCGTGTTGCTGCTTTGCGCTTGTAGCTGGGATTATGCTTGTTGTATTTTGGTAGGATGTCCATGTTGGCTTTGAGACAATTGTCCGAGATGTATCTGCCTTGTTTGTCTGACCTGCTTCCAGGGTCCCAAATGGAGTGAGCATTTGAATCGCAAAAGATGGCAGATCTGCTACCTAAGACGTCGAAACCGAGTCCGGGGGCTGGGGTCTTGAAGAGGTGCTCGAGGTCAATGCTCTCTCCCGGCACACGGTTGTAGAAGTTTGTGAAATATACTTCTGAGCCGTCGTGCAAGCGGAGGAGCATGTAAACGACGTGTCCCTTGTTGACCCCCTCGTCCCAAGAGACCTCCCACGACTCCAGTGGTATTTTATCGGAAATATAAATGGCAACCCTTCTGGAAACAGGCTTCGGTTCGTCGTCTTTATCGTCCTGGGAGCTTTTGGATTTGTTCTTGGCCGCCTTGGAGTTATCGGGTTTGTTCTTGGTCGCCCGAGAAGTATTTTGTTGGTCCTTATCCCTGTCAGACTTGGGTCGTATCCAGTCACTTTTGCTTTCGAGGTAGTATTCTGGCAGATGAATATTTTCGACATTGTACGGAGGATCTTGAATCATGAGGATGGTTGGTCGCATCTCGCATTCGAATCCCTTGGCATATGTGCCCAGTTCTGTGACCTTGGATTCCATCTTGTTGACATTGTAAGAGAAGATGTCCAACACATGCCGAGTAGTCCCTGTCCTGGGGTCCTATGGAGGGTATCGGGTTAGACAAACGTGCAGAAATAGAGGAATGGGATGTGTATGTGTATACCTCTTCCATGACGTGGCTCAAGTTGGGTAGTTCATAATGCTCGGGGGGGTCCAAGTCATACTGCGCGGACTCTGCGCCGGCAGGGGCGGCAGAGCCGTGGCGTTCCGGCTGGTCGTCTGACGGTACTTCAGACATGTTCTCGGAGATGGGTTGACGTGTGCGTGAGGGTTGACTGCCACGCTGCGATGTGGTGGGCGGCGACAAGCTTTGGCGAGCAGCTCTGGAGTCGTCCCCAGCCGCTGATTTCAGCGGCTGGGGACGATTGGCACGACGCGACTTGGCCAGATTTCAGGGCGTGCGTAAACTGAGAGGGCATGAGGATGAGGCCGAATCAATCGACAGAATATGATGCTCAGCCCGACGTTGCACGCACAAAGCCCGCAGGTGATGATGCTGGTGATGGTGCTGGTGATGCTGGTGGTGATGCTGGCAGTTGGTAGGCAGTGCGGGTGTGTGCGGTCTGCTGCAAAGACTGTGGTGGGTTGCGGTGGAGAGAGCTGCGAATCTTGCCCCGCCTGTCAATAATACCTCACCGCAAAGAGGTGGAGGAGGTCGAGTGGACAAGGGTCAACTTCGACTTCATTTGCTGTTGGCCAAGCGCCAGAGTCTCCAGAGGGTTCGACAAGACAGAAAGCTGGGCCCTTCCCCTCTTGCTTCCGTATCCTCTTTCTTCCTTCCTTCCCATCCTTCCTCCGTTCTTCCTCCTTTGTCTTCCTTCCTCCTCTCTGTGTCTCTCTGTGGCCTTCAACTCTTGCTTCCACTCAACGCACCTGTCTTTTCAACCAACCCTGGTCTTTACCCTCGCTACACCTACCTCCTCCATCACGATGCCTCCAAAAAGGAGTAGGAAGACGAGTGTGGCATCTCCACCGGCGGAATCCGACAACGACGGATCTGAATATCAAGGGAGCGACGTGTCCATGGCAGACATTAACGATGCAACCCTAGACGACCAACCCGAGGCTTCTGCCAACAAACCGGCAAACAACGCTCCAAATCCCACCACCAGGCGAGCAAACAAGAAGAAGCCCAAGCGAAGGCCTGCCAATGAGCAAGAGTTTGGCTACGGTCAGCTGCACCAAGAGTTCGCAGCCTTCAGACGTCTCTTCCAAGTGTTCTTGGATCGTACCATGCCGCAGGACGATGGCAGCACCGCCATGGATGTTGCCATGAAGCCGCTCTCGAGCCGCAGGCCAGATTGCGTTGTCAAGACATCTTTTGAGCCAGCTGAATCCCGGAAAACGTTTACCGGCTACTACACCGAGTGGATGAAAGCCTTGAAGCAGCTTGACAACGTCTATCACCAAGTCAGAGAGATCTTTGTGTACGACGATTACGTCAACTTTACCTTCAAAACCCCAGACGCTGCCAAAAGTTTCACGCCTAACAAGGAGGATATGTTCAAGGCGCTTGGTAGTAATATGCCAGTCAGTTGCTTCCAGCGGGCCGATGAGCACTACTACGTGGAGCTCTTCTTTCGTGGTCGCGATTTCCGCCATACCCACGCCACTGACGCCAAGAAGATGCTCGCCGAGTTGGGGCTGGATTCCGACAAGTTCTCGGTGATGTTCAGCGAAAAACGCCAAAGGTTTATTGCCAAGTTCACAGACATGGCAGAGGCCGATAGGCTGCTTGAAATGTACGAAAACGAAGGTGGAACTCAAGGCGAAGGGCTTCTGATCGATTACTCGTACGCTCACTTACGGTTTGTTCTCTTCCTCTCCCTCTCCGTAACGTGGCACCGCTGATGCGAACGTTCACAGGCCTATCGATATCCGATCGGTGGGGATGAATTGCTTCCACTGTAAAAAGGCTGGCCACATGATGAAGCGCTGCCCAGACAAGGATGAAGACCCCACGTGTGGATGGTGTGGCGATCGGGGCCACGGCCAGCACGCCTGCACGTCGACGGTCCCCCGGTGTGCTGCCTGCAAGGAGGAGCATTGCACGCAGTCTGTCAATTGCATGGATCGGAATCGCCGACTGCATCTGCGTGCTTGCGCCAAGTTTGGTCCGCCAGCGTGGCCATCCTATGCAAGGTTTCTACGACCTCATGGGAGGCGAGATGAACAGTCTCGCGACGTTGACTCTGGTTCTTCTGGGTCTGCCGGTGCCTCTGGGTCTGGTGCTACCTCTGAGCCTGCTGCCACGTCTGAGCCTGCTGCTGCCTCTGAATTTGCTGCTACCTCTGAGCCTGCTGCTGCTGCCTCTGAGCCTGCTGCTGCTGCCTCTGAGCCTGCTGCCACGTCTGAGCCTGCTGCTGCCTCTGAATTTGCTGCTACCTCTGAGCCTGCTGCTGCTGCCTCTGGGTCTGGTGCTACCTCTGAGCCTGCTACTGCCTCTGAATTTGCTGCTACCTCTGGGTCTGCATCTTCCCGAGGCAAAAGGAAGCGTGTCCAACAGGCTGACTCTCGGGACAACGCAACTCCGTCTTGCGGCAGTGAGCCAACGGCAACTGCATCCGGTAGCGCCGAAGGCTCACGCACACGGGGGCAGTTGAAGAATACCGCTGGCGCCTCTGAGAAGAAGCAGAAAGAGCCTCCGAAGGCACCGGACCCGGACTTTTTAGATCCAAGTCGGTTAGACCGTATGGTCGACAACCGCAAGCGTCACAAGGGACGCGGCCGCAAATGATCCTCTAGATTCCTTCCTATATAGAAAACATTGAATGCTTGGAAATGAATTTGTTTGTTACTTATGAATTAACATCAAGGCCTCTGGCCACCTATTGTCACTTTTACTTGGAACCTGTACTGTAACGACGACCTCCGACTTGCCCCTTCAGCTAACGGCCTAGAGGTTATGCGATTTCCTGCAGATCACCCTTTAATTCTGTTGCTAAACTTATGAGGACTCAGCTGAGAGCTAGACTAGTGATTATTGAAACGCTTTTGTCGGTCTGCAGCAAGAGACCGGCCGAAATAATGTTTATGAGCGCATGTCCTCATCCCGCAACAGTGGCAACACGCGTTGCTCTTGTCCATCACACCAGCCCAGAGGAGTCATCAAGGTCGGACGTGTCAACCTTGGCTTACCTATGACTTATTCCGCATCTTGATTCTTTCGGCTTGCTTCTTCAACGCAGCATTCACCGCAAGTTTGTCAGCCTCCTCGTTGCCTTGGATTTTAGAGTGACCCCTGACCCAGGTGTATCTGGTCTGCGTGCTTGCGGCTTGGCGCTCGAGCATTCTTTTGCGGATTGCCTGAACCAAATCCTTATTCTTGATGTATGCTCCCTCGCTGTTCTTCCAACCGTCACTTTCCCACTGCTCCACCCATACCACCGCACAGTTGATGGAATACTTGCTGTCACTTAGGATCTGCAATCCTTCCGTGACATCAGTCTTCTCCAACGCACGCAGAATGGCAGTAAGCTCGGCACGTTGATTCGTTTGCAATTCGCCTTCGAGAGGCTCGGAAACGTTTCTAGGCTGACATCAGCTTTCCCGACGATGCCTCAGCGTCCCTCTCGATACTTTTCAGGAGGAATGGCTGCTTGATGAGTTCAACGACGGCGACATACCTGGGATCATCTGGTGGCAAAAAAAGGCCTACGCCTGCTACAGCATCCACTGTGCCATTATGCAGACAACTGCCATCAGTGTATGCATGAAGCAAGTCTGGGTCCAAATCAAGTTCGTCCGATAAAAACCCCAATTTCATCTGGACCTTGATGTCGGCATTGGTCGCTTTGTCACTAAACTTCTTCATAAATTCGACCGCCTTGTCGAGTTTATCGAACTTCTTGAACGAGGGATTCTTGGCCCGTGTGATGGCTCTGGTGAATTCGTCGTAGTCGAGGAAAATGCCTCTGAAATTTCCGCCAGCTACAGCATAGAACCAAGTCGGGTTAGGCTCTGCAACGAACGCCTCCGCGTCTTCTTTGGAAGTGAACGACTTGTCTACACAACGAGATTCTGTTAGTAGAGGGTCTTGGGAGCAGTCTGTTAGGTAGAGAACGAGAATAACTGACATGTAGCCCTGGATTCCCCCTCGGTATTGTTTGAACATTCTTCCCGTGTCTCATACACGCCTGGGTGGAGGCCGAACTTGACAGCGTACCACGTCTTCTTATTCGGCTTGCGTTTCTTTGACGCCGCCTGGTGCGAGGCTGGACCGGGCCGTTTGGCTGGCATGTTATCGAGTAGTCGTCGCAATGTGGTAAATGTTTTCTCGGGTTGCCTGACTCTTAGGTTTCTTGCTTCCCACCAGCTGTTCGTTGATGGCGGCAGTGTGAATAATGGCGGCCGGCTGAATTGGATTCATCTCACCTTCACTCTTTGCAGATCTTGTTCGAACAAGAATCTGCCACAGTCTCAGACGCAGTCCCCTCCCCGCGAGCAAGAGTCGTCGTCGGAAGCGTGTTGTCCTATTGGTCAGCGCAAATGCGGACCAGGAATCCCTGCAGCCCATCCGCCATTTTGGCTTTGCACTGTGTCGAACCCTTGCGTCCCCACACCAACACGAACTCGCGGGATTCCTCTGCATTGTCTCCAACGGCAATGTTCGCGCAGTGGCACAAATTTCTGGAGGAGGCTCCACGTCGCTCGCCGCACCGGTGCCCACCTAAACCCGGTCTCGTGCAACCCCACGCGCCCTGTCACACTACCACCCGCGCTGCCACTCCCGTTCCGACTCCAGTCCCGGCCACGACCCCGACCGACGCCGATCGACACAGATTCCCCGCGACGTGCCCCGATTTGCCTCTCAGGGCTCAAGTGTGCCCCGATGCGCCCTGATGCACCCTCCCATGCTTCAATCCAAGAAAACCGCACCGAACGATCTGGGGCCTCTCCCGTAGTCCGTCGCCGCTCCCGGCCCCAACTCCCACTCTGGCCACGGCCCTGATCGACACAGACGTGCGCCGGTGCAGCTCTTAGGGCCCTGGTCTTCTCCGATACGTCCTGATGCCCCCTGTCCCATCGCAACGGAAGAAACCCGCCCCAACCGATCTGGGCCCCCTCCCGCAGTCCGCTCCGGGTCTCGCTCCCAGCCCCGGCTCCCGGTCCCGACCAAGACCTGCTCCGACCTATCCTGGTACGGCTCTTGGGGCTCCGATGTACTTCAATATGCCCCGATGTGCGCCGACGTGCCTCCGGCTGAGAACTCCGCTTCGGTCACTCCGAGACCCTCTCACAGTCCGGAACCTCTCCCGGCCCCGACCCCGTCTCCCAGTCCCGATTGTGATCGATCTAGACATGACCCGATGCGGCTCTGAGGGCCCTGATGTGCTTCCGTGCGCGGTGATGCCCCCCGCCCCACCGGAAGCCAAGAAATCCCTTCCGGACAATCCGGAGCCTCTCCCGCAGTCCGGGCATCGGCAGGCCATAGTACCGCGCCAAAGAGAGCAGGCCGTCAACCACACAATCGAGCCCGACTGCACATAAAGCATGGTGTATAGATTTCCGGCAGGGCGAATTTCCCTGGACCGATTCCCGACTCGTCATTAATTCCTGTGCTGCCCCCAACGTCCTCCGGAGTCAACACTGTGTACCAGCGTGCGAGTGCCGCATCAGTAGTCATCGTCCGTCCCCAAGCTGAGACCTCCGTGTTGCACGCTTCGCCGACCCGCCAGGCGAATTATAAAGGTACGACCCGCTTAGACTCCCGTGTCCCTTTTCCGCCGGGGCGTCTGGAGCCACACTAACCCCGGCGTCCAGGGCTCCCGGCAGCTGCAGATATGTCTGTCTCTGGCACTCTCTGCAGATCACGCCAAGATCCTTCAGTCTTCCAATTCTTCCCACAGAGATAAACATAGACCTTCTGGTCGTCTTTTTCTCTTTAGCTCCATACAGCTACCCTCCTCCAGCCTCTGACTAATCCATGCCCTTTGGTCTTTGGTCTCCTATTAGCGCTCTATTCGGCCACGGTGGCTCAAGGGCTGTAGATTGATCAGAGGGGCCAAGGCCGAGAGTATCAATAGTAGTTTGGAAGGGTGCACGCCAGAGATGGCCGATGGTACAGCTCCGGGGCCTTTGGGGGACGCGGAGGGCTGGGTGCCACTGAAGACGTTCGCGTGTTCTTTTACGTTTCGCCGACTTGGTGACCTCAACGGTGACAGCATGGTGTAATGGGACGTGCCGAACTACACCCGCTCGCCACACCCTCAAAGTCCACGTCAAGGGCGTAGTGGTTATTAACAACATCTGTTCCAAGTATACAATTCTGATATACAATCTCCAGCACATACTCTGGCGTCTCTCGGTACGGTACCCCCTAGCTTGCCCTGCCAATCGCCCTGCTAACCTCGGGACCCTGAACACTTTGGCTACGCCTATGTGTTTTGCAAAGCCTTCTTGAGGCCCAAACGGACACGCGGCTGCTATGTAGCGCACCTTTCCACACACGCGCGCTCTAGTCACCAGTGGCGCTCAGCAATTTCCAAAGTCTTCTGCAGGTCGACGCCCTCTTGTTGACATGGCTTTTGACTTACAGGGATTGGTCCAGGACAAGACATCAAACGCAGACAGCGATACAGCCAGAAGGCCCCACTCACCCGTAGAGCGTAGATCAGGCAAAATTCCTATGAGCGTCTGAGCAGAAGGTCGTGGCTAGCTGTGTACCAGGCCCGGAAAGTTACAGAGCCCAAAGAGGTTGTCAAAAAGCCATAGAGAGGGCAACTAGCAGGTCTTTTTATGGGCCTCGTGGTGGCTTCATGGGCGACGAAGAATGGGTGTGGTCTAAGACGCCCCGATAAAATATCCATGTTCTGCCCCCACGACTATGGGGGGCTTCCGGCCGATGGAAATTCAGTCCTGGTCGCGTGGCTCTTTCGCTGCTCAAAGTTACTTTCACCTCTAACCCAACTTCTAACTTAAAGCCTCAAAACTTGTGAAAGAATCTAGACGGGTCCATCTTGTTTGATACCGGTCATATTGTTGCCCATCTGAATCATGCACAATGCGCATACACGGATATCCAACCATCATTACCCCCTGTTCTATCAAGCGATCGAGCCGTCAGGCGAAGAACCACGCTCGTGTCTCCATCACGAGCTGTCCAGCAAAACTGTGACTTTCGACGCCGTGATTCCGTCTAAGCGAGCTCTCTCCAGACGTCAAGTTCTTGTCGAAGCAGTCCGATCAAGTAGGCTTGGCCGGGTTAGTTGGATATTGCACTGGCCGGGATGAGCCCCATCGATAATAATAAAGTTGACAAGAGACAGAAGAGCTGCAAGCAACCAAGACTCGCGGGTAACACACATTTTGTCTCGTGGAATGCAGGTACCAGGCCTTCGGCTTCACGGCTCCCTATGTCACATCAAACGTGACAAAAGATTGTCTATTCTATCAATTCAAGAGAGACCCGCCACTCTCTTTTGATCGACTACCCCCATCTCCAAGGGCCTAATGTCAAAGACGCCAGGACCGCCAACTCTCATTTTCTTTCGAACCGTCAAAATTTTCCCATACTGTAGTCGAGCACACATTGCATGTCACCTCTCAGATGGCGTTCGCCGTCGAGTCAGCATTCAAACTCCAAGCTTTCCGTTCCTGGAAAATTGCCATATTCGACAGGACGGACACATCCCGACTCGTGCGCTAAAACCTACCTCCTGAAGCTGGTCCCTGTCCGGGGATAGCGTCTTCAGACAAACATCGCTTACAGTTCCTCTTTCTAATGAAAATGAGAGAATTCTATACCTATCGAAACGCCAAAGACCTAAGCGATGTTTGTTCCATACATTAGGGACGCGGGACATGGGCACGAGGGCATCAGCATAGTCGTATTGGGCATTATCAACTGTCCTATTAGAGTTTGCTGGTGGTCGCAATCGGGCTTTCAGATTGCCGAATTGCAATATTTCATTCAAGAATATGAGCAAACTGAATGCTTAAATAGCAGGCTAAAGTCCGAATTTACACTCAAAATTCGAGCACTGATCCAGTCAATTCGACTGACACGAAATCGTATTCGGCATCAGACTACAGCTTCGAAGCTTTGACCTGTTCAACCAACAACGTTCGTTGCCCAAGACTCTCAGCCTTTCTTCTTGTTCCCCCCGTGGTCTGTCTGATATCATTCGCAGATGAAATACTTCGCTTTCATCGCAGCCATGATGGTGTCTGCGGTCCTCGCCGCTCCGACGCTGACCGAGTAAGCAGTTCATCTGCAAGCGTACCTTTCGATATGGACTCCATCTGACACAAAATTCTAGAGATCAACTGGAGGTTCGCGACAAGCCGTGCTGTCACAATTTCCCGGGCAAGGGCGGCGGCCACCAAGCTGGCTTCTCGCACATGGAGTCTTTTCTAGCCGAGGCTGCGGCGACAGGTGCGAGCTTGCAGACACGAATATCAACACGTCTCAAAGACAAAATGGATGGCATGGAACATTTGAGAGTGGAGTGTTACGTGCGTCTAGACGGAATACAAACAAAATTTATTGGTTCACTGCGGTTTTCGCTCACGAGTGAGAAGCGAGTTCGATAATCTTAGACAAATGGCCAGCGTGAAAACTGCACACAGTCTTTTGTCATCGAATGACGAGAGGTTCATGTAGAGCTGGGTAGTTGCAAGCCCATTGAGCCCGGCTGTGGACACCTGTGTCACGTGTGCATCACGATGCTCTGAGCGCAGACTCAATCCAATCATGAGTGTGGTGAACAATTAACCTGGGCGGTGACATATTTATGAGCAAATGTAAAATACATGTCTCCAGCACCGCGGCCGAATGGGCACATTCGGCGCCGCAAACGGGCACATAAAGCGCTCACGACACCATAATGACGACGTAAACTGCTTGACAGCTTATCGCGCATGAAAGATGCGAACAGCGTTCCAGATTCACGTTCTCCGGCACAGCTGCAGCGTACGCGTAATGATCGCACATCAGCAAGACCCCCTTCCGTGCCTCGAAAAAGGGGATCAAATTGTTCAACTAGCCAGGAATGCACTCAATCCAATAATGGAGGGCGTTCCACGTTTTGAGGGAGACAACAGGAATGAGAAAAGCGCCGTGGGGGACGAACCTTGCCAAGGGGGGATGGATGTGACTAGGGGGGGAAGTATTGTCTTAGACGGTCGGTGGCTTCTAATGGCTTATGTGGGTTAGCCACTTCTTGACTCGATCGCGCACTGCAGCGAATTTAAGCTCCCTGACTAGAGAGATGCGCATGAAGGCTATGCGACTTAAG